CCTTCGATAAGTGGGATGGCAAGGATCTGGAAGACATGCTGATCCTCATCAAGGTCAGGAGCACGGGAGGGAACGCGGGCTGTGATGAGACCGCTCAACCAAGATTTGTACATCAATTGCTTGAAGCTTTGGATGTGCCTAGGAGTTATTCGTGATTCCCTCCTCTACAGCCAAGGTGGAGCAGGGATCTTCCAGGTGTTTCCTTCTGATACTTCTTCCTGTTATAACCAAGAGACTCTTCCCCTTTGGGCTTGTGGTTAGGGAATACCATGGGAAATGGAGCTTGTCGTACCACGTAGTATGATATACCCGTAGCATGCAGTCTGCAGAGTTCATCCTGGTTCTCACCTGCAGCGGAAAGGTGGATTAATTACCATCCCTAACACCTGACTGTTCTGGGATGCGTTTTGTCTGAAAGGAGGTTGTTAGAAACTTCTCAGCCATCAGTACGTGTGTTCTCTTCCCATTTTCTACAAAGAGAAATTACTCCCCAGTACTTAAACACTGCGTTTCGGCCTCTTAACGGAGACATGGGCACTACCCGTGATGAGTTAACAGGATGGAAATCTCAGTTAGTAGAGGGATGGGCTCCAAAATGCAATCCCTTGGAGGAGGATTGACCTTCCGGAACAGCAGAGTTGCAGGTACTCCCAAGGGCCACGCTGAGCAAGTGCCTGAGTTTTTTGACACAGGCAATTCTTTTGCAAGCACTTTGGGACTTGCCAGTTGGAAGGTCGTTATCTCTGGCTGGGAATTCTGTTCTTGCAAGCCGAGAAGGCTTATGTGCGGGTTGGAAACTCCTTTTGCAAGCACTTTGGGACTTGCCAGTTGGAAGGTCGTTATCTCTGGCTGGGAATTCTGTTCTTGCAAGCCGAGAAGGCTTATGTGCGGGTTGGAAACTCGGAGGAAACACTTGGCATCTTGCTGAACTCCCCCAGCAGGGAGGCAGAGCTGTAGCAAAAAGGGCTTAATTGCTCTTTGTCCCTGAAGAACCTGCTGCTGAGGGCAGTGAGGACGGGGCAGGGGCTCTCTCGGCTGAGCTCCCCTTTGTAACTTGCCCTCTGTGACAGGGATGTTCTTCCTACCCAACGCGAGGAGAATGGGCGGTGTTCTGCCTCCGAGCATCTTGGTTCTGTAACAGATGCAGTTCCCTTGGGTTCGTGCACTTAGAGAGAAGTGAGGATCCTTCACAATAAAAAGCCTTGAGGAAGGGCTGAGTCACTGATCCATCCTAAGACACATTCTCCTCTTCTGCCACCCTTCAGGTAAAAGGGAAATGCACCACTGACCACATTTCTGCGGCCGGTCCGTGGCTCAAATTCCGTGGCCACCTCGACAACATCTCCAACAACCTGCTCATTGGTGCCATCAACATCGAAAACGGCAAAGCCAACTCCGTGAGGAACGCGTTAACCCAGGAGTTCGGGCCGGTCCCAGACACAGCCCGTTACTACAAGGTGAGACCTGCCCCCGCCGCGTCTGCTGTGAGAGGGTGGTTACGCTTTATGCCGCCTGTGCCAAGACCGAGGATCTCGCCCTCCTGCTCTCAAGTAACAGCTGTGAATTCACTCGGTGTTGAGGCTTTTTCTTGGGGCTTACCCCGATGATGGCAGTTCCTGTAGGAGAGCCTCTCCCCACCTGCTCTGGGGAAGAGGGAGGAGGATCTGGTGACCCAGAGGGGACCAGAAATCACAGATGAAAGGGCAATAACTCCTTCAGGCACTGCACACCTCACAAGGCTCGGGTGTCATCAGGCTGCAACTAAACCTCCCATCCTGGAGTGTTGCACCTCTTGACTAGTCTGATGTTTAAATAAATGCTTATCTTGTCCCCTTCGTTCTTTAAAGCTCTCCTTAGAACCTCCAGAAATGTCCTTTTGCCCTCTGGGCAGGGGTCTCAGATGGGTTCTTCAGTAGACACAAGAGTTCACCGTATCGCTCCCAGCAGCAGAGCAGGGATCATGGCAGGTGCCAAAGCTGCTGTGGCACAGGGGTGTGGAAGGGAAAGGTGGCAGCAAGGATTTGCTCTGGGTCCCAAGGGCGGTGCCCCTCAGCCCTCGATAGCGAGGATGGCAGTGCCTCACTGCTGTGAAGCCCTTAATTCCTTCTCTCCTTCCCCGGGACCAAAGGGAGCCTTCTGGATGAAGGTGTCCTAGCACAGCAGTGGCAGTAGCCTGGCACTGAAGTTCAATGGGTGGGTGGGTATTTATTGTTAATTCTTTCTGGAGTGACTCCAGAAGTATAAACCCCTTTGTTCCGTCACAGAAAATGGGTGTCAAATGGGCGGTTATCGGGGATGAAAACTACGGTGAGGGCTCAAGCCGGGAGCACGCAGCGTTGGAGCCGCGTCACCTGGGGGGCAGGGTCATCATCACTAAGAGCTTTGCCAGGATCCATGGTGAGTGGTGCTTCCCCTGGGATGTGTGTAAAGAGGGCGTGGGTGGAAGCGGTGTTCACCTCGCTGCAGGGCTGTCTGCTCAGGGATCCAACGGTCCCTCCGGTTGGGAATCCTGTCCCGTACTTAGTGCCACAGCCGGTGGGTGTGCTGGTTTTGCCACAAAGACAGTCACTGTTGGAGGAATGCTGCTCTGGGAAGCCCTAGGCAGCCAGGAGGTGACTCCGGCCCCTGCGGCGTGTTGTCACAAGCGTGCTCGGTGGTTCGCTCTCTGCAGAAACCAACCTGAAGAAGCAAGGTCTGCTGCCTCTCACGTTCGCCGATCCAGCGGACTACAACAAGATCCATCCTGTGGACAAGCTAAGCATTGTGGGGCTGGCCAACTTCGCACCCGGAAAGGTAACTGGGTGTCTTGTCATGGCGCTGGGGGTGGGGGGGAGGGGCGCGCCG